GTATAAATGCAGTGATTAGGGCCAAAGGATGGTATACCCGCTTCTGATATCTAGCTGCCTATTTAGGAAATTAGTACTATTCGAAAGAGCAGATTTTGGCGCACCATTTAATTGATTCTTATAGGATTTCAATAAATACCGGGCGTACAGTAGTAATTTGTATGGGAAGAGTGGAAAATGTTGATGGGGTAAAAATGCGGGGTGTCCCAATACTTTTGGTGTAGTACTGTAGTTATCGATAGCGTCTTTTTAGGGCTGGAGGGACGAGTCCTAGGCCTCTGAGTAATTGTTTCAGTGATGTTACGTAGTAGACTAGTTAGTAGCATCTGACTGCTGGCGCTAGCCTAGCAGGGAGCTACATCAAAATAATTAGAGAATATTTTTTTTACAACAGTACAAAATATGAGTGTAGTATTCTGATTGCTATGTGCTCCTGGACGGAAGTCCTTATGATACAAGAGCCCAAAACTAGAACACACCTAATAGCAGGAAGAAGCAGAGTTAGTAATAGTACTATATTATTGTCGAATACTGTTAATTTGTCAGGGTGCTTTAGAGAAGCAGGCAAATTGTACAAGGGCAGTGCTCATGTAGGATAAAGAAGTGATGTACTCTGCAAACCGACCTCGGATGCTTAGATTCTGAGCAAGGAAGGGATTCAACCAGGGGCATCGTTTCTTTGTCTTAAATGTTTGCAATGTGGCCAGCAGATCGAAAAGTTCCTCCACGCTAGCTATTTATGCGTAGCTATACAATAGAGTGGACGCGGTAAACGATTACTCTGTATTCTGAGTACTGAGGCAGGATAGGTATAAAGGAAGTAAGGGGTTCTACACCGCATCAATCTTCAGTAGCTTTAGCAACAACGAGAGCGAGTAAAGTTTGATGGTTCTCAACGCAGCCGTCTCCAACGAGCTGCCTTGGAGCAGTGTGGGTCTCCCCCTAAGGGCCGAATGGGTCATGCAAAATTCGGTCCCGTTTTGCAGGCTTGTTGTTCATGCCAGCGGTTTTGAGGCAAAGTTCAACTGGTGGTCCATATTCATGTCCATCTTTCGACCTAGCCCTACTGGGTGGGTGTCAGTTGTTGGTCCGGAAGGGCAGAACTAGCACAATCGCCGTTTTCCAGTTCCGGAGCCAGTCACGAACCTCAGCAAGATCTTCGTTGAATCTCTGCTGCATATTGGCTCTTCTAAGGCCAGCTCTCGGTCATATAGATCGGTCCGCGCTTGAAGGCGAAGACTGGGGCCCTTGAAAGACTTCTCGACTCGTTCCACTCGTCAAAAGCGTTCGGCGATGGTCTTATTTTTGACGAATATCTCGGGCAATGAGTGGTGGTGAAAGAATTTACCTTCTTGGTCGTTCCGCGGTACTCTTTCCCGCTCCTCACGAAGTCCTCTTTCTACCGCTTCCCTGAAAATTTTATCTGAACGGCATTGGGCAACCTTACGTCGCGCGACTTCGTCATACTGTGTCTGAGCAATGAGGCGAGTAGAAGGGTAATGCAGTGACATCTAGACGGTATTTGATGACCGGGTTAAGGAAATTCCAAAGTAACTAGTACAGATCCTCTGGCCTCAAATGGAACCACCAAGGTCCAGAAAGCGCCCTGGAGGCAGATTTATAATGTGAGCGGAGTATTAGAGCTGAGATCGTTCAGTAGAAGATTGAAGGAATAAAAAACCTACCTCCACGAGCACACCATTGCGATTTATACCCAGAACGCAGAGCATTGGAACATTGAATATAAACAGGATGATTAATCCTCCGAACTTGATGCCAGTTCGAGGAAGGGCAGAGAACTCGCGGTACAGTGTCAGCTGCAGCATGACTCCCACATTGAATGTTTACAAAAGCGACCCGAAATCAGTGCTGCTGCAGCCGCATGGAAGATAAAGTCATGCAACATACGGTACGAAGCCGAGTCATGGCCGAGCCATGGCAGCAAACACGACCGGAAGGTGCATTGGCAGGAGACAATGTGGCGCATTCGTTGGCCGATTTGGTGCTAGTGCCCACTTCATCGTACAGCGGGATAATATCGAGATAGTGCCAGAAACTAGTAACGTAGGGTGTCAGCTTTTGCAACAGGTGGCTGAAACAGATGAAGAAGCGCCTGAGAGCACTTATATACAAGAGGAGCCAAGGACCTACCCTACAGGCCTGCTAGCGAGAAGGAGAGATCAGAAAAGAAAGGCAGAGTTAATAGCAGTAGCAGCAAAAGCAGCGGCAGAAGCAGAAGAAGAAGAGGAAGAAGAAGAGGAAAAAGAACAAGAAGAAGATAGAGAAGAACTCACTATAAAAGACTTCAAATTTAATATAACTCAGTTTGGGTCTAAAATAGACCTAAAATTAACAGGGGCAGATACATATGTTGCTTAAGAGGAAGAGATAAGAAGGAAAGTAAACAATATAAAGGCCACAGCTGTTCTTAAGGGCTAACAAGAAGCTATTAAGAATACAAAGCTGTAGAAAACAATGGAGAAGATAGTTAGAGAGATAATACTGGACTCAGTATCAGCATCAACAAAGGCAGAGCTAAAGAAGATGCTGCCGTCGGAAGCATTTGAGCTGCTAAGGAAGAGATACTCTTGATCAGGGGCAGCAACATACTATATAGCTGGGGCCAAGTGGATAACTATTCGCTAAGAGTCCTAGCAGCCTATTAAGGGATATATTAAGAAGTTTGATGCCCTCTGTACGGAAGTGGAGATGGCTGAGGTCAAGATTAACAAAGAAATAGCTATAGTTGTTTTTGTAACAAGGCTAAAGTAGAACTTTAGCAAGAAGGCCTATACAGAGCTGCACCAGCAGAAAGAAGAGGTTAACATAGAGACACTGCGCTAAACGCTAGTGCAGTATACAACATTTAAGAAGACCTAAGGGCAGACGAATAAGGAGAAACAAGTATATCCGGCAGAAGCAGGCCGAGGGTATTCTCAAGAGAGAGGCCTATCTCGAGGTAGATTCGGACGTGATAGTTATAGACGAGGGCGAGTAATACTGGTGCATATGTACACTAGTACTATCTGTTAGAAATGCTAGGGGCAGCACAGAATAGAGAACTACTAGTAGCAAGGCTAAGGGCTAAAAGACGATAAGGGAGGTGTAGGCAGAGCTGCGTAGAGTATGCACTTAACAATCCTAGCAGGGGTAGTTAGTTATACAGAATAGCTACTTGATTCTAGAGCATCTTGTTATATAGCTAAGGAGAGGCCTTAGGGCCTGAGCTAGGAGGGCTAGGAAAGAGTTATAATAGCTGCGGACTATATACTAGCGACTTACAGACTAGGGCAGATAAAGATAGGGCTGTTAAGTCTAAAGAACATTTAATAAGTGCCTAGCCTTAATGGGAGCCTATTATTAATAGGGGCTCTAGTGGACGATAGATAGAAGGTTGTTATAGAGAAAGGCTGCGCCTTATTAAGTAAGAGCAAGGAGATTCTATGTATAAAGAAGAAGAATAGTGTATACCTGTTATCAGAGAATATGAAGATGAGTATAACAGCAGCAGTGCAGAAGAATAGCAATAGAGCTGCTAAGGTGTCAGCTGAGGAAGCTGCGCTAGCTAGCTTACTAATAAAGGAGGTATCAGCCCAAGAGGAGGCTGCGCTAATAAGTGCTCTAAAGAAGGCGCCACAGAAAGATCCTGGCGGCAAATAAGAAGGCGCCACAGAAAGGTCCTGGCGGCAAATAGCTGCAGGAGAGTCTGCTCTATAAGAGGATAGGGCATTTAAACAGAGAGTATATAAGGATGCTGCTGAAGTCAGCCAGAAATGAGTTCTAAGTAAGATTTGAGAAGCAGAGGGTGTGTGAGATCTGCATTTTGGCAAAATAGAAGAGAAGGCTAAACAGAGGGCCTGTTGAGCGTGCAGAGAGGCTAGGATAGCGAATCCACGCTGATCTCTGTGGAGGTGGGTACTCATTTATATCTAAAGAGGTACAAGAGTCAGCAGAGTTTAAGGAGTTGCCTGCCAGCGAGGGTGGAGCAAAATAAAGGCCGAACAGAGGGCCTGTTGAGCGTGCAGAGAGGCCAGGACAGCGAATCCACGCTGATCTCTGTGGAGGTGGGTACTCATTTGTATCTAAAGAGGTACAAGAGTCAGCAGAGTTTGAGGAGTTGCCTGCCAGCGAGGGTGGAGCAAAATACTTTATAGTGATGACGGACGACTTCAGCAGATACCGCAAAACAGCTGTGCTGAAGAAGAAGAATGAGGCAGAGCAAGCTATCAAGGAGTTCATAGCAGAGATAGAGGCCAAGGGGTACAGAACAGAAGGCATCCGAAAAGACAGAGGCACAAAGTTTGGTAGCAAGAAGTTCGATAAGTGGCTGAAGAAGAAGGGCGTACGAATAGAGGATTCTGCGCTATACACGCCAGAGCAGAATGGCGTATCCGAGAGGGCAGTTGGGCTTGTGTGTGAGAAGGCGCGGGCCATGCTGTTGGCAACAGATTTGCCAGCATCTCTGTGGGCTGAGGCAGTGCTAACAGCAACAGATCTGATGTACAGCAGCCCTACAAGGGCGTTGCCGCATAGAGGGACGCCATACGAGAAGTTCCACGGCAAAAAGCCATCCCTGCTCCATCTGAGAGTGTTTGGCTGCGTGGCGTACGGCAGGATTCCGAAGCAGCTAGTTCGCGGCAAGATGGCGCCCAGGAGCAAGAAGATGAGGTTAGTTGGGTATGAGTCATCGAATATCTATAGGCTGTAGGACCCGGTGTCAAGGAAGATAACGCTGACAAGGGATGCTGTTTTTATTAAGGAGGATCTGGGGTTTGGGACGCCGCAGGGGATTATGGCGCCGCAGGAAGCTGTGGCAGAGAAATCTGTGGCAGAGAAATCTGTGGCAGCTGAGTCAACAGAAGAGTCAGAGAATGAGACCCTAGCAGATATAGCGAAAGAAGCGCTAGGTTTGCTGGATTTCGAGAATCTTGAGGAAGAGGCACCTATTGCTGCGTCTGTGAGGTCAGTTAAGCCGCAGGAAGGGGTCCCGAGGACCTACGCGCAAGCGAAACGCAGCGTAGGAGCAAGCGAATGGCAGGAGGCCATGGAGAAGCAGATGGAGGCGCTCACGTCGAACGATACGTGGCAAGAAGTTGATCTGGAGTCGCTGCCTGCGAGGACCAAGGTCCTATCTGGTAAGTGGGTCTACAAGGAGAAGGAGAAGGAGAATGGCGAGCAGGTGAAGAAAGCAAGGTGGGTTGTACGGGGCTTTGAGCAGCAGGATAAGGATATCAATTGGGACGACTTGACCACAGCAACGGTCAGGGCCCAGACAACAAGGATCCTGTTCGCTATGGCCGCAGAGAAGAACTGGGATATCCAGCAGATGGACGCTGTGGCAGCGTTTCTGAACGGGGATATCAAGGAGAACGTCTATATAGAGATGCCCATGAGGTGGCGGCAGAAGGGGAAGATCTGCAAGCTGAAGAAAACGCTGTACGGCCTCAAAACGTCGTCAGGTGTGTGGTATGGCCTGCAGACCTCATTTCTGCAGAGCGTTGGATTTGTACAATCAAAATACGACCCAGCACTGTTCAGCAAGCGTGGTGCAGAAGGTGTGGTATTTATATCATCTCACGTGGATGACTATCTGATCACAGGGAGCGACAAGCAGGGGGTGCAGGAGTTGAAGAGGGCCATGGCCAAGCGCTTCAAGATGAAGGATATGGGCGCAGCTGTGAGCTATCTTGGTATGGAGATAGAGAGAAAAGAGGATGGGGTAATTAAGCTGACGCAGGAGAGATACCTGACGCAGCTGCTGAAGGAAACGGGTATGTGGAATGTGAAGTCAAAACCGACGCCTATAGAGGCTGGCTTGGAGTTGAAGCCAGCTGAGGCAGGCAAGGCAGTGCGTCAGGAGGACTATCGCAGGCTTGTTGGGAAGGTGCAGTGGCCAGCTGTGGTAACGAGGCCAGATATCAGCCATACAGTGAGTCGTTTGGCAAGCGTTTCGAACACGCCTACTAAAGAGGCATGGGGGGCGTTAAAACGCCTACTCCGATATCTGAGAGGCACGCTGAGGAGAGGACTGAGATACGGAGGGAAGAGCGAGCTGAGAGGGTATTCGGATGCCAACTGGGCAGAAGGAGAGGACGGCAAGGCAACGACAGGGATCATCTTTATGATGAATGGAGGACCTATCCATTGGTTCTCCAGGAAGCAGAACATCGTTGCTCTATCGACGTGTGAAGCAGAGTACATAGCCGCAGCAACGGCGACGCAGGATGCTGCGTGGCTAGGGCCCCATGTACAAGAAATGTTGGGAGAGAAGGAGCAAGCTGTGCCCATTTTGGTTGACAATCAAGGGGCCATAGCGCTGGCGAAGAAAGATGGCTGGAATCGACGCACACGCCACATCAACGTACGGTATCAATACGTGCAGGAGGCGCTGAGGCAGAGGAAGATCAGGATGGAGTATGTTCCGTCAGAGGAGCAGTTGGGTGACGGCCTGACGAAGGCGCTGAAAACCGAGCTGTTCGAGAGGTGGCAAGTAAGGATATAGAGAGGATAGAGAAGATCGAGAGGCGGCGAGAGAGCAGATATAGAGGATTGCTGGCGCTAGGAGGCAGTTAGCGAGGAGGATAGAAGGATAGCGATCTGTAGAAAATTAACACTCTTTCTACAGTTTGGCCTGGGGTCCAACACCTGTCCCACTGGGTTTGGTGCAGTTGAAAGCCTTACAAATCTCTTTCTCAACTTTTCTTCCTTTCTCAGCCATAGTAGGAAGGCTTTGTGTGTCTCATCTGGTGTCTGTCATCATTCACACGTTTAAAAACGACGGTTGGGATATTCCTGGGACCGAAAATCGCAAGCTCCGTGTTCACTGAGTGGCACCATGTCAGGCATTGAATTAGCAGGTCTCGTCCTCGGAGCGATCCCTGTCGTCGTAGCTGGTCTCGAGAGCTACATCAAAGGAGTGGCAACAATCAAGCGATATTTCAAGTACAAGAACGAACTGAAGAGCCTGCGCACATCTCTTACGACCGAATATGATATCTTCCGTAACAGCTGCGAAGAGCTCCTTGAGGGGCTGGTGCAGACACAGAAGATGGCACTTCTACTTATAGACCCTGGTGGAGCACTCTGGAAAGACCCTGCGATAGAGAAAAAGCTCAGACGTCGACTGCAGGACGCGTACTCTGGGTATTTGGACACTATTGACGACATGGAATTGGCAATTGAGGAATTCAAGAGGAGACTTAAACTTAAGGACGGAAAGGTATGTCCTGTCCACGGGGTGCAAACTATATGCAGTCTTTTTGGAAACGGGCATCGGCTAATCATGTTCTTTACATCTAGGTACAATTCGACGATGTCAGCGCTTTCAAACAAGAATACAAAAGACTCAAATTTAGCCTTGACAAATCAGCGTACGAAGATTTGATGGTCAGAATAAGACAGGACAACCAAACACTCAGCCGATTGACGAAGCAAAGCCTGAGGCTAGAAGTCTCTCGGGTCAAAAGATATCGTCATGTCCCTGATTTCAAAGGTGTCCGATATTGTGCCAAGAGCATCTTTGACACGTTGAGTTCTGGTTGGAAATGCAGCTGTCAGGGGCCACATACCGCGAATCTGCGTTTGGAGTCCAGGATTGAAGATGTTGAGTCAGATCTGGAGAAAGACGGACTGGCAATGGAGCAGCCACGATTTCGGATTGTGTTCTCGTACAGCCATGCCAGTCTGGTGTCAGCTTCCACGCCCTGGTCATGGGAGGAAGCCGATATCCGCCTACTCAAGGAGAAACAGAACCATGATAATCCAAATGGACCTAACCCCGTGCCGGCGCCGAACAAGAAGAAGGGTGTCCGATTCCAAGACCAAGCCGAAGCTGCCGTAACTAAGGCGCTGGACAAGCAGCCAGACTTAGAACCTATCAAGGATCTCTGCAGAGCCATCCAGACCCTCCAACAGACACAGCGCGAGCAATGTCTGGGATTTCTAGTGGACGAGTTTACGCGGCAGAAACATGGTATTTATCCTCTCCAAAGGCCTTCAGTTGACAAGGACAAATGGTCGGCCGTGTCTCTCCAAAACCTGATACCCCAGAAATCAACCATTCAACATCGATTTACTCGGGGCGACAAACTCCGCCTAGCTGTGATCCTCGCCTCAAGTGTCCTACAATTATACGAAACGCCGTGGCTGGAGAAGACTTGGCAGAGAGACGACATCATGTTCATCCACGCCGCCAACGGACCTCTGTACGAGCAACCTTTCGTCTCGAGAAGTTTTCCGATGAACAAATCTTCCCCACGGCCTGGAATCACCAGCAAACCAAGCATGATGCCCGCGATTCGGAACCCCGTCCTGTTCGCGCTTGGCGTTCTCCTCATCGAGCTGTGTCTCGGCAAGCCGCTGGAGGAACTCAAGCGCCCGGACGAGCGGACCCGTGACGCTAGCGTCGATGCCACGCTCGACTGGGTCGCCGCGGACCGGCTGGTCGAGGATGTGTATCTGGAAGGAGGGAGCCGCTATGGTGACGCCGTCAGGCATTGCATCCGTTGCGACTTTGACCGGCGCGAGACGAGTCTGGAGGATGACGACTTTCAACAGGCGGTTTACGAAGGCGTCGTCTCCTTGCTGGAAGATGATCTCAAGCAGTTTCACCACTTATGAAGCATTTAGTGAGTTGACGATTCCGCTGGGCATGTTGATTGATACCCCAAATGCATAATACTGCAGCGTTCCAGATAAGCTACACCAAGATTTGTCCAAAGAGACGTACTACAGTTGCTACATCCTCGTCATTAGACAGGTGTTCCTCCAAGAACAGAGAGAAAACATCCAGTGTGTGACTTGTAGACGTCGCAAAAGTGGGAGCCTTGGAAATACTGAAAACAGGGAAGTATGAATGGGAAGACCCGAGGCCCCAGATGACATATCTCTCCTTCGGCATCTAACCCAAAGTGACCAGCCACGGGGGAGCTTGATTCACGGCGGCTTCTCGGGCGGCTGGCTCGCCGGGAGCACTCTATCAAAACCCATGGCTCGGTAAGGGAGAAGGTCAAGGAGAGGTTCAAGGAGGAACAGGCGTCGAAAAATAAGTAAAAGGGGGATACCCGGGGGTTCTCCACCGGGCTATAAATTATAACAACTTGCGGTGAAAGTTCTTATCAAGTTTTAGATCCTTTCTAAGTAAGTCATTCTATAACAAGTAGTAACCTGGATCAATGAAAATCAAGCCATGAACAGCATCAAGAAGCTGCCATGCAGACACCACGGGACATAAGCTTTGCCTACGAACACTAACCATTTCGCTGACCAGCTTCATGGCACTTCAACCCCAATCTCAGTCAAGTACCTTCCTCCTCCTTCTCACCCCTTAACTTCTCCAATCTAATCTCCACCGCCCTCCGATGCGCCTCCAGCCCCTCTACCTTGGCCAACTGCATAACCGCACCCCCCAGCCCCTGAAGGCCCTCTTCGCTCAACTCAGAACTG